TAACTGCTCAATCTATAAGATCTTACGTGGAAGTCACATCATCGACTACACCAACTCATTGTATCGTATCAATTACCAATACATGATGTAGAACAAGCATAGGCTAGAAATAGAACAATATATTTATGACGGATAAAAGATATAAGGTAACGTTCAGAGGGACCACGCCTGCATGGTCGAGTCATGCCATTCGACCAACTCCAATTAATTCAATACATTCTTCCCGCCTTCTCCATCGTTAGGTATCTCTCCGCGTTAAATATTGAGTATCTATTTTCCGAGTTGTCTCGTGTTCAGCTTTGAGGATTGTGTGGTTGTGGTCCAATGCCACTACACATTCACGTCTTTATATTCGTCTGAGTCCGGATTGAGTTGTTGGTAAGTTTGTAGCATAGAAGTTAAACTCTCGATAAAGTTCCACAAGAGGAAAAAGTTTACGTCGTTTATATAGTAAATGTAATATCAAACAAATGGCTTATGTTATAGCAGTCATGGGACCTGAGAATCGACATTACCACAGTATAAATATAGTGTAGATTATGTACGGCATCTAGTGTAAAAATGTTGCTTACAGCGAGCACTTGCGAAGCTAGCTGGAAATGAAATAGACTGTGAATAACACTTTCAAAATTTAACATTTATCAGCAACTGATAAAAACAGATACAAATATCCAATCATAAAACCAAACTGCTTTAAGCTCAATTTTTTTGGGTCGGCATCCACGCTTATATACTTTACTTATTGCGTCGTGCAAGAAAGTCTGGCTCACAACCTTCAATGCTTGTGCTATTTTCTTTTTCGGACAGGTAACACTCTGGAAACAGGAACACATGAGTTATAATAATGAAGACTGAGATGTTAACCAACTACGAATTGTTCGGTAGAATTTGTATGGTGCCACTGACTGCCAGTTCGGGCGTTAACGCATAAGTTAAGCAGCCTTTTGTTGACTTCTGGAGATAATCATAAATTATCTCCGACGATTTTGTCACGTAAAATTTTATAAACAGCTGTCAACTTACGAACCTGTCATCCTGTCTAAGAAAATGTGTGTAAAAAACGGGAGTAATGACCACATAATATTGAGTTGCTTTTGAGGTATAATGGCAAAGTATATCTGTCATGGTGTTCCGCGTACACTCGTAGCTAACTACAGAGCATTTAAATATACCCATGGTACTGGAAGGAAACTGATCGATGAGGAAATCTGAAGGGCTGAAACTCAATCTTGCCTCCGTCTACGGTTTGTGTGATGACCCTAGATTTACCATTTGCTATAACTGAATTATTTGGCCTTGTATTGGAAAAATTTGAATACCTGCACGCAATGATTTCTAATGAGAAATCATAACTTACTGTCGACCCGGTCACATCTTGTGATAAGATCTGATTCAGCAAATTTAAAGCAAACTTATTCAACATCGCCATGCAGCCAGTTTAGACCCGACGAATTCGCAATGTAGTGAATATCTAACGTTTCTTACATACGATTCGAAGAGAAAAGCTGAAACTGATTCTCGACAACAATATGTAATGACACCGTCAACATTGTGCTCCAAACTTTGCATATTGTAGACTAAGTGTCCCCAACTATGAAAACGTCTGCATCCCAACCAAAAGTCATTCCGATAACTGCTCACTCTTTTGGGGAACGCTGCTTACAACATCGGGTGTGACAGTAATATTATAACAGTAACAACAACTCGTCTATATGGCGTAGGGTTTTGGCAGCAATCCAGTGGCATTGTACCTTGATGATGGTTGCCAAGTACTAGAATGCCGAACAGTCTTAAAACGATTGGTGCGTCACCTCAACCGTTCGCAAGTCTTCTCGACAGCGGTCAAATCAAGCCCATTTTAAGCTTGAGCTTGGCCAAGCCGAACAAGTTGATAACCTCCACCTTTCAAATGATTAAGGTGACGCTATGGTAATTACACACGATATAAGAATTTTTATGATATTATGTTATCGCGGCGGTTTACCAGGTGGGTCGATTCCAAGGCCTGCCTGGATGAAGTGCATACAGTAATAAAATTTCTGTGAATACTATTTCTTTGTACAGTATACAAACAATATGTATGTCATATCAGTATAAAAATGAAAAGTAATCCGACTCCAAAGTATTTTACCTTCAGATATATTTGTATTTACGGATGTAAGCGCAGTACATCAGGATCGCATGCTTGTCTTCAGAGTGTAAATGGTGATAGTAATCAATATTCCTCCTAAGACAATATACCTTCTAGCTTACTACCACAACCTAGATGAAGACGACGTCGGCCATCTACTTGTGCTTTATTAAAAATGTATTTACGCCTAAGGCTTTCAAACGGTTTGTTAAAAATACTTGCGTGTGGTTGTGTCAGCAATGCTGAGGTTAGATTATGGCGAGAAGGACCTAAATGTATTAAATTTTTGGTTGATGAGGCTTCAACAAAGAATGACACCAGAGTCACTTTGGGTGCAGCCATTTAAATCAACAGGTAAACAAGGCACGGTATGTGAATAAACTATGTCAAGCCAAATGTAATTACAGTCACAGAAACTTGGCTGACGCAGTCCGTAAAAATTAAGGAACTTGATTTTGAAAGTTTCATATCACTAAAAGCCGACAGAATTCAGAAGCGTAAAAGAGAGAAAATGACTCTTCATTAGAAATACTATTCCACTCATCGTTACTGACAACATATCCCATAACAATGAGACGGGCAGTTTAGTTAGTTTCCGCTTGAAATTCACAGGAATAGAGATGCTGATTGGTTTGCTCTACCGCAGTCCAAACTGTAGAGTGAATAAGATCTTACTTGATGGCTTCAACACTCGGTCGTCAAGTGGTCGATGTTTAATCTTAAGGGACTTTAATGCACCTAAGGTAGACTAGAAAAATCTGATGACTGAATTGTTAGAACGTTCATCCAAACAGAAACTAGTTGATGCAGTTATCAAATGTGTCTCAGTGTAACACATGGGGAAAGCAACTAAGTATGACTTGGACTCCGAATCATCCTTATTAGATTACATATTGACCCACTATGAGGATAGCGTCACAAACCTTGATTATAATTCACTCCCGGTTAAAAGTGACTATGCAGTACTAGCCTTTGATTTATACTTATTTGTCAATGACGATGTGTCAGCCCAAGCTAGATCAACACATCTGGAAGGCAAACATACAAGATATTATACACCCAGCATTGGACAATAGATCCTGGGTCCCTCATTGAGATTTATTGGGATGTAGTCAAAAATTTGTACATGAACGCCACTGCATTACACATCCCTTGGACTACATTAAAGGGTTCGTATATCCTTCATTATGGACTAGTAGACGGGTTCACACACTTCTCCGTAAGAGGAGAATAATGTGAGAGAGATTTATGCTACTCGGTACTAACAAGATCAAATATCAATATCATGAAGCTCAAAATATTTGTGACTTGACCCACCAAAAGTTCAAAAAGTTGTGTGAAGAAAAACTTTTTAAGGGGTCTACAGAATACCCTTAACACTTATACTCGTACACAAACCAATGGACCAAGAGAAGAGATAATGTTCTAGCGTTATGAGGAAACAGTAGTACTGCATCATCAGTAAAGAACGACTATGGTTTAGATCAAGTATTCTCCAACTACTTAGGCAATGTACATACTGTAGAGATGCCCTCCCTACAAACCCGATGAGACGCATCCTAGGTTGCCAAAAGGAATTAACATGTTTTATTCTATCTGTAATCCAGGGTTGATTACTAAAAACTGGAACAATGCTACAATATGTCCTGTCTTCAAAACTTGTCATCGTTAGCCAACTACTTCACACTGGCGTAAAGTGATAATAGCATAAGTTGTGGATTTTGGAACAATTTATATGCATTTACAGAATTTGTTTACCGAAGTGGTCAGAAAAGTGTAGGGGTATATTTATAGATAAGACAATGGGTGATGGAATAAAATTGATAGTATGTCAACATAATGTGTGAAAGTAGAAAGCTGATGAAAAGTGGATATAAAGGACTTCAGAATAAGTTATTAATGATGGTTTGTTGTGCTGGCCTAACCAAGTGGTGAGTTGCAAGCTCTTTGGATTGAAGACTATTGGTACTGGGCACGAAATTCCTTGTGGCTGACTATAGTTGTGAGGTATTGGTGGGCCCAAAGAGTTATCTGTCTACCTCAAGCAAAAATTGAGGAGGAACGTACGGCTACGGAGACATATTTGAAACATTTGCAGCGTGTGGGAAAGAAATTAGTGAAGGGTCTTTCTAGACTCCCTTACGATGAGCGTTTAAAACGCCTAAATCTTTTCCCCTTGTCGTATCGTAGGACACGAGGTGACCTTATACTGGCATTTCGTATCTTTAATTATGATTTGGGTGTTAATATGTCTTATCTTTTTGCTCCCTCCAGCACTAATAATCTCCGCGGTCATAGCAAGAAGGTTCATAAACCAAGATCTAATAAACTTAAAGTGGTGTCCCGTTTTTCTCATCGAGTAGTCAATCATTGGAACGCCTTACCCGAACAAGTGATATCAGCCACATCAGTGAATACTTTCAAGGAGAAGCTGGACCTTCACTGGAAAGCAGTGTGTCAGGATTAACACAGGTTCATCAACCTACTATCCTTATTACTGAAGACTGAAGACTGAAGAAAATTAAGGAAAACTAAATTTATAGTTTGAAATAGTTTGGACATGTATGAGGCCTATGATGTCTGAGTAAGGTACAGATATGTTCGCGCTTGCCAGATCAGTGCAAGCGAAAGCTTCATTGAGAAGCCATACAAACGTATACAACCCATCTGCTATGCATACTACAGCAGGAAGTCGGTTCTCTACTAATACATATTTGATGCGGAAGACGTTCTCACGAGTTTTTGGCCTATATTATTCAACATTGACCGTAGATGCCTTATCTCGAATTCGTACATATGTGAGACTTGGGTAGGAACTATATTACAGGTGCTGCATATACCCACCCAACCGACTTCAAGCACTTCAAATATGCAATGTCCGCTACCGTTCAAGGCCGCGAGGAAGAGAGCGCGGTCAAGTTTGGGGGCCGATCTTGTATTTTAGGAGATGTCAAAATCATCCTTGCCATTAGATACCTTCTTCAAAAACTTCCGCTTTCTGAAAAAAACTGTGATAGTTAACAATAATGACTATACCGGCGCTTTCAAATCGATTAATAAGTGAGTTTTCTTAATTGTTTGTCATATGATTAAAATATACTTCTGTAAGTTGTGCTTCACATTCTCGTACGTATCGCGAAATCGAACGACCGTTAAAGGTTTAACGTTCCGTTCTTTGAAAAGGGGTGGGGTCAGTATAGACGTATGCTCCAGCAGTACTTTTAGGTAGTTCAGAAGAAATTCACATAGCAAGTCAAATATCCAGTTACGCTATTAACACATGCATATTCCTACTGAAGGTGGGCTCACAACAGGCATATATACGTATATTTAACGCGTCAGATGAGGTTTTCAATCACAAATATGCGAATTTACAAACCAAAAAACATTTTTTTATTTCCACGGTCTCTTTATACGTGTTTCGTTAAGCTAGCCAAATACTGGACAACTAGATCAGAATTTTCAATGTCGACCGGCACAATGTTTTTTCTGTAAGCCGCTTTCACCATGCTGCTACCAGAAGGGGTTACTTCATGTAGTTTAATCAGAGCCACCTCTTATCCTTATTTACTGATATATAACCTAAATACTTTTGTCACATTCAACTCAGATTTCAACTAAGTGAAGGCGCTGATAAGACGCAGTCTTATGAAGACTTTGTACGATGCTTCAGTATTGTAGTTATCCACTTCCTAATAGTTGTAAGTAGTTTATCAGAAGCTGTTTTGAACCAAGGATTTGTATCAATTATGTGCCAGATTCTTAAAATTAAGGATCAGGAATTTTGTTGGACAATACTAGTTGCATACAATGCTACCGCTAACAGCTTCCTTACAATCGACTTTATACTAAAAATATTCTTATTTCGGAGTTATAGATCACTATTTCGTAATATGAAAGAAACCTGTAGATGTTAAGGACATTTCAAATTACCGATTCTTAGCTAGTTCTTTCATGAATAATCTTATTTTTGAGCTTGTTGTAGTTGGCGATTCAATTGTGCAAGGTCTAAACTCTCTAGAAGTCGTTAATATGTTTTAGTCCTTCCAAACTGTGACTGAAATCATTGTGATCAGTTCAGGAGATACCCCTTTTATGCATTATGTCAGTACTTACTAGAAAAAAGTGAGGCGAAATATATCTTACTGCTTGGGAACATTCGCTTGAGCGGATCTGCAAGATGTTTAACACAAAGCGGATACTGCACGAACCCCTGACTTATGAGAAGAAACATTATTATCAACAAGCCAGTACCTGAAACAGCTCGATCTCCTTATACTTCCTTGTGAAGTAAGCGCGTGACTAAGTATTTACCATAAATGACCAACAGTTGGTACTCAGAAACACCACAGGAATTAAGCTTGGTAAACAACTACTAACGCAAGAAATATGCTGATGTAAGAACCTATTATCTGTGAATGCATAATTCAGAAATTTAGGTGAACAATATTTATTTTGTGTTTAGTGGTCTAGGTACAGAAAGCAAATCCGTCGTTGTGGCTATGAACTTACATCAGTTCAAATAACCAAGCCATGTGTTGTACACTCGTGTACGGATTCTTCTGATGTATTGTTAGATTCGGCCCTCAAGGTGACTGAAATCATTTTCTTTAGACATATGAAGTACCATTTTTTGTATATGTACTGTAGAGGGGAAATTTAAGAGATTATACCATAATAACAGTGTGATCATTTATGTTGTCTTGATAGATTTATGTATTTGTATACTCATTTTGGAATGTAAGATCTGAATGAGCATACGTCTGTCAAGTGCATTCAGTTCTATTATTTAACTTGGACTCGGTAGTGTAATTAATTCAAATACCTTATATTCGTATTCTTGTAATCTGAGTTATAAGGATACTTTGTCTACCTATCTGTTTATCATATTCCATTGATCTGTTGATCTACAAATATTTGAGATATATTGATTAAATGACACTAAACAGTTTTGACTCATTTCAAATACAATAAAGATTAAATCCGTCTAGTATAATCTTTAATTTATTTCCATTATAATTGTTGGTGATTCTTGTCCCAGTGTCATTATAAATCCAATACTTCGTTTCTATTTATTACTAATGTGCATGTCAGTTAATGCATTTACTTAAATATGCATTCAGGAACGTTGCTATCCCAGTTCTTCAATCCATTCGTCACCGGCCATCAAAATAAAATTAAAAAAATATAACGAAAAACAAATTTATCTTTATATTTACTTCATTCTTTCTCCATCTATTTTCAGGATAATAAATTTTGATAAGGTAAGAAGTACGGTCAATTTCCAACAACGTTATGAAAAACCAACTGATTGGAGACGAAGATACATGTATGAACGGTGTAAACGTGTGTATGACTCTGAGATGTCAAGAAAAATCTCACTCGTTATACGCACACATAGGGTTGATCCATGGCATCGTTAGAAACCATTCATATGCTTAGTTGTTCTTCTCTGTTGTACAGACTTATAATTGTTAGATTTTGTTAATATAATACAGTTTTGTTTACTGAACTGGTAGTTTTATTTCTTTTAAATTTTATATTCGGAATTAAACTAGTAAGAATAGGATGCATTAAAATAATTATTTTTGAAGAGGATTTTGATTGTTTACGATAAATAGGCTTGTGACGTTTGATCATCAAAATATTTGCTTGCTCTTTTTAATGTAGTATTGTATTTATTAGAGTTGGATTTATACCCATTAAATTGTCTTAAGTTATGTTAACTTTCATAAGCTTTCAGATTATTTTTATGTTTGGTTAGATATGATTGAAGGTGTACCTAAAATGCACATTAGGATCACTCTAGTCAATTATTTGAACATAAAAGCATGCGAATCAGCATGAATATGTATCTATTCAAATTACTACTCTGTGTATTAACTCGAGAGGAAAGTAAAGGATTCTAAATAATACCAGTATAAATGATAACAGAAATCATACATAGAGAAAATAATTGAAGAGTATGTGAAGTGGAGGAATAAAAAGTACTAAGTAATATGTCTTAATATTTGTAAGTTAAAGAATTAATAAATCTCGATTACGATCACTTTGTAACGTAGCACCCAACATCTCTAGTGTGAAATTCGTTTTAGTTGCAACCAGTTAGGTTGCTTTAGAATCTTAAGTTAACTGTAATGACAGATATATTACTACTGAACTTCGCTTGTTGTTGATTGTTTATCTTCTGATGGAGTTGTGAAGGTAGGTTTTGGGAAGATTTTACAGGTTATTTGAACTTCTCTGAGTAGTAATCTTTTGTCGTCATATTAAATCATGTTATTATGTAACCTGTAAGACGTTATTGTTCACCAAATTTACTAACGAGTTTGGTGCATACTGTTGGTGAATGTCTTATTAATTTCCTCCGTATTACAGTTACAATATAAGGAGTAAAATCCAGTCAGAGGTGCTTGTGATGTACATTCTTCGATTGCTTAAGTACTCAACTTCCTAATTGCTATTTGTATTGTTAAAGATTGTTTGAGTAAAGGAAAGTCCCCCAGACTACTATTCTTAATCTGTTTTTTAGAACATCAATGGAGTTTAATGGGAATATATAGTGATTAATGTTGAACCGAGCTAGTTTCATTTGGCGCCAGTTACTTGATGATCTCTTTCAGTATTGGGATTTGGGTGGTGTTTTTGAACCATTCAACAATATAAAAGATGTCGGATGAGTTTTTGATGCTTGAAGAACATATCAAAAATTAATATTTCTCTCCATAACGCTTATAAATCTAAATTAACACCAACATAGTATTAACAATATTTTTTAGCTGTGTTGTGTGAGATGTTGGAGAGCTTTGTCGCTTACTGTTAGCCTTCATCTTATTTGTAACAGTTTTCTGCATGGGGGACAAAAACTGTCCCATACAAAGTGGAGTGATGTGTACAAACGGAAAAGCAAAAGACCATAAGATAAATATCTAAACGAGGTCATTATTGACTAAAGGATACCCTTCGGTTTTAGAAAACAAAATATATTTCGTTCAGTTATAAAGTTTCATCTTTCGTAATGAAGAATATAATGGGAAATTACAATAGGATCGTTTTAGCTTTATGTTCTTTAGGGTGTCAATATCAGGGCTGTGATTGACGAACTAATGCTAGTTGTCTAGAATTATCTTCCGTTCCATGGCGTTATATGATGACCCGGCAACTCTTGGTTTTTTTCCATCTAATGGTTAATAAAGAACTAGACCCGATTCTCAAAATCGGTGCCAAATAAGCTAAGCAACCACGCGATATCTTAATCGGTCTGTTAAAACAGTATGGGTAGAGTCTGAACGTTTGCCTTGTCTGATTGTTGCACATATATATCATATTATCTTATGATGATCTATAATATACGTCAATTTATTACCGAATTCGCGCATTTTATATTCTCTTGGCCAATAATTGATTAGAATCCAGTCGTACAGAGGCCTTAGTTACTATTTGAGGACTCAATAGCAATGAGTTTGGTTACATCTCGTGACGACGTAAGTTTCTTTTAGGTCTTGCATCAACGAGCATAATAACTGACCACTGAACCTTCCACTACACTTAATTATTAAATAATGCTAAAAGGTTACAATCTTCAAATTTTATTTTGTTCGGCTTCTGCATTTCATGTTTTATTCATGAAATACGTTGTTGTTCATTCTACTGGATAGGGTCATTACATTTTCTAGTGCATTTTGGTCTCTGATATACTGTCTGGATGAGACAGACTATATTTATTGAGTTCTACTGACACTACCATTCATTGGTTTCATTAATTTACTTGATAATTGAATATATACCAAGGAAAGTGATGTACGGCCATTGAGCAAAGAATAGCAGACACAGCTTTGGTAAATATTGGGACGCTATTCAATATTGTATATTCCTTCCTATTATCGACTTCTATTATGGATTTCATTGTGTTTAAATTGCCTATACTTTATATGAATAAAATATTCTGTCTCTATAACCTCGTTCTCAATTTTCGATCGTAAGTAGTGTATCTGTGTTTGAAATGTCTTAGTATAATGATCTAATGATTTCGTATTTACTGTATTGATGTAGTACCCATGTTGTGTTGTTGTATTAACGTACTATATTGTAATGGACAACAGAAAAATTGCCTACACCAAGATGCATAGAAGATTCTATTTTTCTAAATGTTTTTTTAATATATTGATATTAAATATGCTCACTAGTGACTGGTTTCAAGAAGTATTTCCTAGAGTTCTAGTTAGAAGCAGTCACCAGTGGAGTTCAACCAGGTCTGTTGTGAAATAGTAACTCAGTGAAGACAATGGTGGATGTGTCGCTCAATTTTGTGGATTAGTTTGAAGTTAGACATTAACACCGTTAGATGCCAGCCGGCTCAGTAGTCTAGAGGTTAAGCGTTCGAATGCAAGACTGATAGGTCCTGTGTTCGAACCTCGCAAGGCTGGATCATGGATGCGCACTATTAAGAAGTCCCATAATAGGATGAAACAGCTGTCTAGTATACTTCCCGGTTTTCCATGATAGTCTAACTTCAATTAACTCATGATTTCAACATAATTGATCTATAAGAGAGTGACAAATATCGATAGCTAGTTTATGATTACATTCTTTTTTAAAAAAACATGTACACAATACATAAGCAATGATTGTTTAAAACAACAACAAAAAAAGAAACATTCAATAAATTTTTTATCTTTTTTGGAAATCACATCGTAATATTCGAAAAAATGTTCGCCTAAATGAAATATTTGATAATGCATAACAAAATGGATTAATTGGTGAATTCATATAACATAACCAATAAGAAAGATTATATAAATGAATATTTACACAACTATTATGCGTATTAATATCATCACAAAATCCTTTAATTAATACAATTATATGATATGGTGTCCAACATATCATAAATGCGCCTAATATAAGACTAATTGTTTTTAATGCTTTACATGCATGTTTACGATTTTGCATATCAATATTAGATAATGATTGAAATATTGAAAAGGTTGTTTGTCGTTTATTCGTTGTTGTTGATGATTTTCTATGTTGTAATTGTTGTTGTATTTGTGAATTACTTTGTTGTTTATATTTATCTTTAATTGATAATTTATTATGCTTAATTCTTAATTGATTATATTGTGTTACACAATCATTATCACTATTATCATTACTATGTATGGTTTTACTATTATTGGTTGTACTATTTGATTGAATTTGTATTGGATTATTATTTAAAGGAATATTGACATGTTTTGATGATAGAATACAACAACAACAACAACAATATTGAACTTTGAATTTGATCTGTTCTACTATTAGTTGCAATCCAGATTTTTGTTTTGATTTATCTTGCTGAATAAACTTATTATTATTATTATTATTATTATTATTATTATTATTATTATTATTATCTTTATTTATTTGACAAAATGGACATATTTCTTGATCAGTATTAACATTAGAATTAGGTTGATATTCAGTTAAATATGATTTATCATTAGATTTATACCATAATAATGAATTATGTTTTATTTGATTGAATACACAAGGTGATTTAATAGTTCGATCACGTTTAGATTTATTCCATTTATCCATAAAACGTAGACACCAATGATCATTAATTATTGATTGATTATATAATGTTGAACTGGGATCATCACTTGATGTTGTATAATCTGAATATTCACACTATTATTGTTTAAAGATTAAAATAAAATTTAAAAAAACAACTGGAAATGAACTTAATACTATAGTGAACAAGAATACGAGTGGTAACAGTTAAACGTGTTTGAATACAAAATGACAGAACATCTCAATAAAATCTGGGAGCCATATAGTAAATAGTTAATTTGCAAAATATCAATCGATTGTGTCAAACTTGATTGTTACTTTTGTAAATATCAATCCATTGTCTCAGGTTTTATTGTTTATGCATTTTCATTATTAATTGCTTTCGCTTCCCGTTCTTTCCTTTTTCGATTTTCTACTGAAATACATTCTATGCCTTACCATTATTATATACTACTTATGTGAATATAAGTAGCTCACCACAATACAACTCGTTTTATAGACATGAGTTCATCTTTTTTTTCCAGAGTAAAAAACAAAATCTATTGAATGTTTTCATATCTATATACTAAAAGGATAGATTTTTTAATGATTATGTGTTTAAAGCAATTAATCCCTTTGATAAATTTCGATAATGTAATAAGAAGACGAAGATTATTAGGACTATGTGATATATTAGCGCAATACATTTCGAACAATTAGATCACACATATACTTGTTAAGAACATTTATATATAAAAGTAAAAGGTCAACTAGACTGTAAGTGGGGCAAGAGGAGTCAAGGATAGTAATAATAATAATAATAATTTAAAACAATTAGTCCCTTTGATAAATTTTGATAATGCAATGAGAAGACGTAGTTTATCAGAGTTATGTGATATATTAGCGTAATACATTTCGAACAATCTGATCACACATATACTTGTTAAGAACATTTATATATGAAAAATTAAAAGGTCAA